AGGTCGCGGCATGGATAGGGGTAGAGGAGGATCCAGGTGAGAGAGTTAACTCTTAACTCCAAAATTATTTATTTAAGCCTGAATAAAATTATTTATGTAATAATGGTTACTTTTCTTTTGAAAACTTCTCAAAAAAAATCTTTTATACGTGTGAATATATCGCAAATTTATTCTTAAGTTCTAGCAGTTTATTGGATGATACACGATAACTTAATAAATATATGTTATAAGAAGTTTTTGAATTTGCTGAATTCAAAATTCAAAGTAGTAGATCCAATACGAAGGCTTGACAGTCGGAAAAAGAAATTTTTGTGAAACTTAGGTATTTTTGACGTCGAGAAGTCATGATAAAAAAATACATATAAAACTTTGAGAATCGAATAAGACGTCTACACTATAAGACACAAGTGGTAAAGCGCGAATAAAGCTTATTAATAAAGATTAGGCATAAGTTTTTATTTGTGAATATATGTAGTCACTGATAGTTACTTAACAGTTAATTTTAGTATTAGGAATAGGTAAAACAAGCATTGATGACAAGAGCAAGCATAGGAATTACAATGACTACGTTTACACGACTTGATTTACGCTGAAGTTATTACATCGATGTTATGAAACTGGTCAATCACAGTTATTCCATTCTTCAGAGGAATAGCTATGATTGGCCAGTTTCATAAACCGTGTAAATGTAGTCCATATGAAAAATACATTATAATGATGCTCCCATCTTGTAAAGATTAAAGAGAATTTTATTAATGTGCTCGAATTATATTTTTATTCAAATGCAATTCATTGTTTCAGAGGATCAAGCAGGGGTGGACCTAGTCGTGGAGGTGGCTTCGCTGATCGTGGTGGTCGGGGGACTGGTGGACGTGGTGGCCCTACAAAACGAGGAGGAGGCCCACCTAGCTCGAGTGGACCCTCCAAAAGGCCACGCTTCGATCAGCCGTCTTCCCAACCATCTAATGGTTATGCCACTCAACCGCCTAGGTGAATATCATAGAAACTTTCTTTTTATCGTAACATCAAAAGCATTTTTTCTTGAAAATTAAAGATTGAAAATAAAATTGACGTATATATGTAGTTTCAGTCATGTGTTTACTAAATATCGAACATTAATCAAAATTAATTTTTTATGCGAGTTTATATATTTGTAATATTTAAATTTTAAATGTATTAGTGTTTATTAAATAGGATATTTAATGAGACAATGTATATAATAGAATTATATACACACATATATACAGAGAAATATGTTCGAGAAACTTTATAGATATTAATAACAAATTCAAAAATATTGAAGATATAATAATACATTTAATAAATAGTTAAATTTATATTTTACACATAGAAGTAAAAAAACTAATTAATATAAGTATATATTAATAAGACATAAAGAAAATGAATATATTAACAATACATTTTCCTTTTGAATGATAATAGCCAAGGCGGTTACGGAGGTTCAAGTAACGCTTACAGCAGCCAACAACAACCGCAGCAGCAACAGTCAGTAGGATACGGTAGCGGTGGCTATGGCTCACAGCAAGGCTACACGCAGTCTTATCAGGGCTATGAGAGCTACCAGCAGCCCCAGGATTATGGACAAACGGTAAATGAACTTGATACGACAATATGAGACAATTCTGAAAACAATCCATAAATACGAATTATTTTCAATCATTTGAGTACTAGAATACATTCTAGATTTTTGAGCATTAAATTTAATTAAATTATTCCAAATAAATTGAAATAATTACGTAATTGTAAAATCTCGAAATAGAATTTTCTATTGATGTTAATTAAAAAATTGTTAATTGTGTTTTTTCAATCAAAGGAATCCGCCATTATTTTGTCTCTCTTGATTTCAGGGTTATCCACCGTCCGCAGCAGATAGCAGATATGGCGGGGCGTCATCAGTTCCAGCTGCAGGATTCGGCGCTAACGATCCGTACAGTTACGGTAAAGCTCCGCCGTCAGGTGAGTTGTAGACATTAAAGAGATGTTATATGCGACATGCGTCATTGTTTTTCTATTACATTTTATGTATCTTTGTCTCTCGCTAATTAATTTTGATCAATTCTTCATGATCTAATAATTCGAAGTTATTTTTTTTCCAAAATCTTCAGATCTTTAAATTTTTAATTCCAAAAGTGATATAGACCTTCCTGTAATAATTTCAAATAAAAATTCAGATCATGAAGAATTGATTAAGCTTGACGCATTTTTCGTGTAACGTTGACAGTACTTTTCACGACAGTCTCAAGTACTGATTGTGAGTACTCAAAACGTGCGATAATCCACTAATCGAGTACTCGAGCGTCGAATTGAGTAGGTCGGCAGGACACCATATACAGTTATTAATATTACATAATGCATGTCTAGCTGATTACCAGCAGGAGGCAGTGTCAACCGCGGGACCGGGGGGCGGGGCCGGTTATGTCTCTGCTAACCCATATGACGACCGATCTAATGCCAACATAATCAACCGGGGTTACTCGACGCAACCTTATGGTTAGTTGTTTCGTTCGCTGTCATCGTTCACATTATACAATTCATTAACTACGGCCGTTGGAGCGATCCTTAAGGACTCATTTATCATAGAGATGGAATATTGAATTATTTGCTCGGAGAGATTTCCAGCAAAGACGTGTCACGATATCATAAATTATGTCACAAAGTCTCATGATAGGGAATTTAAATGATTATTAATCTTGATGAAATATTAATTATAAATTTTCCATGAGAAAAGTTAGTAAAGTATCAGATTATTATGACAATAAATAGTTTATTTTGTTCTCCATGTAAAACTTCTAGCAAAACATTGAATTTAAGATATTGTATGTTGTATATGATGTGATACTCTTTTCTGACAAATAATTTTATGTCCCGATGATGAGTTCTTGAAGATCGCCACCTAATGTTTTTGTTTTCCGGGTTACATCGGAGTTAACACGATTCCGCAATAAAAGCATAAGCAATAAAGCACGATTCGATTCAGACGAGAAACGTTCTGGTTTAGACGACAGAGAAGAGAGCAAACGCACGGTCAATTTATCCGATCATCGATCTATGTTCTAGAAACTCATACTTGAATTTCTTGAAGTCTCAATATATATTAGAATTGGAATTTTTTTTAAGTTCTTAAAATTTTCTTATATCGTTATTCCTTCTCGGATATTTGGATTTTTATATTGGATTCTAGATCTGTGTAGAATTTCGAACAGTTTTTTTTTTCTCTGAATTGTATTCTACTCGCGATCGATGCGAATGAGTTGCGCAGAGTTACACATCCCATTTTGAACATATTAAGAAATCACACAAAAATTGGATACGGATCCTTTCATCGAGACACTAGCACTGCAGCACTGCCTCCTGCCATCTTTCACTCCAGGATTACAAGGTCCGTGATATGTGCAATTTCTTTCTCACCTAAAACAAAAAATATGTATAAGTGTATAAATTATCACGTTAAGTCTTTTATTATTCTTTTTTAATATATCTTCTATCATCTGATTTTATTTATAATATATATCTTGGATTTCTTAATCTGTAATTCAATATTACAATAAAGATTTCTTCGCAGTTTATTTAATTTGTAAGAAAATGTTTTTAAATTGTTTTAAGCAATTACGCGATATTAACGATTATAATTGATTAACGAACTGTCACTTCCTCGTGGAGATGCACTCTGTTTTTTATTTTGTTATGACTGCTTCGTCGTTAAATCGACCGTTATATCACGATAAAGCTTTTTTTTTTTTTTTCGTTATTTCGTTCGACTCGTTTCAGATATTTCTCGTCTGAGTCATTCGCTTCTATATTTTCGGTATTTTTCATGAAGCGTTGTTTGATAAATACGTTTTTCTTGTGATTACAGATTATCCGAGTCAGGACGGTGTTTATGGGAAACAGGATTATGGTAAGTACAACTCGCAGTTCAGAAAAGTTCATTGATCAGAGGAAAACAAATTTAGCTAAGTCGATTGGAAAAGGAAATTGTGTTTATGTAGAATCTATACGTGAAAGATACTAAATAAGTAACAATATATAACATACAAAAGAAACATCAGAAAGTACAAAAAAGATATCATAAACGACATATGTTAGTGTATTAATTTATATGCAAGATTTGTACGTACTTTTGAAAAGTGTAGGGCATTCTATAAAATTTAGGAAACTTTTGGATAATTAATCGGTGAAATTTCATTATATACAAAACAATAATCAAAGACATTATTAAAGATGATTCCGAGAGATTTATGAATTTGAGAATTGCGATTTCCTAAATTATAAGGTCAGAAATCAAATTTAGTTAAACCATGTCGTTTAAAAACCAAGTGAAAATTACAGTCAGTACTGAACACAATGTAACGACTTGTAACGCAAAAAATATATGTACCTGTAGGGCTATTATAGACGATATTAATTTAATTATCTAGTTATGCGTTAGGTACGAGTGCAACATTACAAGAAATATTTAATAACGACATTATCAACAGCTATTCTTAGTACACCGAAATGTTTGTTGCAATATGTCTTACGAGAACACTCGCAGTACTAAAAGTATTTGCAGTTCTACAAAAAAGCGTTTATATTATTACAAGAGCATTTGCGATATTACAAAATCATAATAGCAAAGAAAGATTCTTATAAGTTTATCCACTTGAACATGATATTTTTGCAATATTCTAGCGTTAATAAGATTAAAAGACTGTCCACAAAGATATTTGCATCACAGAGCTAATCTACAAGAAGTCCATTTTTTCCAGTATTTAAGAATCAAAGACAAATGAAGTTGTGATATACATTCATTGTACACATACACATACACACGTCGAAAACGTCGAAAAAAATAGTAGGCAGGTAAAGAATTGGTAGCGATATCGTACAAGGATCTATATAAGTAGGCCGTTCAGTTTTATGTATATGTAGAGAAGCAAGAACACTAATTATATTTCTCGAGTAATGGAACGGAGGAGCTATGGTTGTTTCCAGGTGGCAGTGCTGGTTACCAAAACGCCCAGTCTCAGCGACGTTATTAAAGATATCCGTCACTTAATCAATATCCGCTCATTAATTTTGTATCTAAGTAGACAACAATTCTCCCAGGCGAAAAGAAAAAAAAAACGTAGAAAACAGATCGAATCTATCTCCCGTCGCACGATAAAGGGAATAATGCTTTCTCCTTTTAAAACTGCGAAATACATTTGTTGATAGAAGAACGATGACAATCGAGGAATCTTGAAGCAAGGTGACGTAAAATTGTAAAATTGGAATGCACACGCTTGTATAGCGAGGGATTTATCTCGCTTTTCGCAAAAACTGATCTGATCACACGTATCAAAAAAGTTGGGAATTAATACTGTTAGACATATAATATATATATTCGTAATTATTTTATATATGAATATACCTTGTCTTTTGCTGAATGCACTTTTTCAATTGACGTATGTATTGGAAGAATTATTTTACTTTAAACAATTTTCAAAAGATCTTCTCAGTGACTCCCAGCTTTCCTAAGTCACTGCTCCGCGTCACTTTGCTCCCAAGATTTTTTTCACTTCCGCTTGCTTTGTCTTCGTCTCGTGCACATTGAATGAATTTGATTGATATATATTGCTTGACGATATAGGGAATACATATTTTATACTTGACAATTAGCAATTAATACACACTACAATTATTTCACTACGTCGCCTGTACGACAATCTAGAATTAAGTCCCGGTCGAGCGATTAATTTTCTCGACCGTTTTCTTCACTATTTGCGTAGCGTAATTTATCACAACAGTAATAACTAAAAAGAAATCAGCAATGACAAAAGCGATAACGACGACACTGTAAAGTCGGCGTCCTGTTTTGTAAATAGAAATCATAAATAAACCCTTTTTTTGTGGAGAGGAAAAGTTATGGCAAAGCACGCGATATATGGAATTGTGTACTCTATCCCTGAAGGCTTAGAAGGAGAATAACGTTAAACACTGACATAAGCACTTCTTAATATATATGTCTTAACATTTATTCATTTTGATTAACTGATATCTAAAGTTTATTCAATTAGATTTAATTGAAAATATTGAAGATTATTTTGAAACTATTGGAAATATTTTATAACTTATTGTAATACTTGTTTGCCAAAATTTTATTGTTTACTGTAATTTTTTGTTAATATTAGATTCATCCATTTTATAACTTATGATTACATAAATAATAATTCTGCAATCTACAACTTGGGCAAATAACCGTCACGGTCACCGACCGTCATCGATGATCAGTCATTAGCAGTTTATCAATGTCATACTGGATAATCGTCAATTAACAATTAAATTAATTAAATTCTTATGAAATAATTTTTCATGAGATTTAACAAAGTTAGGAATTTTGTTGTCTTTTCTTTAACGATTAGCTACGATTGCAGAAAAAAATGTGAGTCTCGGTATGAGATTTCTTTTCCCAGCAGAGAATCCGACCAGGAGTCGAATAGTATAATGAATTTAATAATGCAGCTATACAATGTCTAATCCTCTGTCGTGCATTATTTTATATTAATTAACGAAACTCGCTTGAAATAATTTGTACTGTTTATTGTATATGATACATCTTTTACGAATAACTCTATATAGCGCATCATGTTGTTATGTCCCGATCTATTGTAAACGATCGCTCGATGAAAATGAAAGAAACATTGAAAAAAAATGAAGATCGAGAACATCAATACATCAAAGACTTATACCCTTACCCTTATTGTCACCTTACCTTATAGCACGAGAAACAGAGAAAAAGTGGACGAGAAACACGCAAAAACCAGCAACTGCCCTAGGAAGACAAGCTAATCAAAAAGACTGAATATGGGCGAATAAGTATGATAATTGAGACGAAAGATTATCTCGGTAATATAGTAATAAAAAGTAGGTATATATGTGAACATTTTTAGGAAACATGGTAGATTAAATGCCATTTCGGACCGAGCCATTCTTTCGTCTATGAATTCTTCGATCGTTTGCAGTCGATTTTTTCTTTAACGAAGGTATCGAAAGCATTGTTAGATTGTAAGCAGTCTAGAATGAAAGATTTCTCAGAAAGAGTAAGTCTTAAAGATGTGGCGATTTTGTAAGAGTCGAAGATTAATTAGAGATATATTCAATGTTAAAAATTGTTGAAACGGATATTGACCTCTTCTTCGACGTTTTCAGTAAGGAAAAATCGACTCTGAACTGTAAAATACATGGACGAAAGATGAAGACTCATTTAAGAAATCATAATGTCCAGTTAGAAATATTTAGTTAGAAAAAGGTAAAAGTAAAAATTAGATAACATTTGAAGAAAATTATGTGAGTTTGTGAAAGTGTTTGTAAGTTTAAAGATTTTATTCTAAAAGCATATAACAAATTTCACATATCTATTAATTTCAAAATAACGTTACTATTTCAGGAATATTTCACCCCTGAGTCATACGTAAACGTAGCGTTGGAAATAATTGACAAGCCCAGATAAGGCCCGACATCTCTTAGTTTCTAAAAGTTCAATCATTATTAGTACACAATATTATTTGAATATTATTACTTAAGAAATATGATATAAATATATTTATAGAGCAATATATGAGTACAATATGATACGAATGCAATTATAGAGCAATATAATAAGTTTATTATAGAGTCATATGAGTTCAATTATAGAGCAGTATCATTCGAGTACAATTACAGAGTAATATCATGAGTGTAATTGTAGAACATGTGGAGTTTAAGCAGCGGAAGGTACTTAAAAGTACTAATAATGACCAAATTTGATGAAAATCAAGTTTATTTCACAGGCGTAGCAACATGCTGAGATACTTAACAAACAATGAATGAAAGTCAGAGGGTGAGAGACAGAAAGTGTCGTTCTTCCAGCAAGAAACACGTCAAATTTGCTAAGTCATCCACCCTCACTTAAAAGAGAAAAGACAAATCGAATAAATAGTGGATGCAGTCCAGTTAGCGCTATTCAAAATAGTTTAAAAATAATTTTAATAAAGTTAGAAGATTCGTACCATTCGTATTCTACTATCGAAATCTAATATTGCGTTAATTAGACTGGCATTCAAAGTGAGTAAAATTATTTTCGTTAATTATACATATACTTGAAAACAGTAGAAATTAGCTAAAGTCCTTAAGTTTATAAATAATTACTTAAAATTCACCTTGTTAATCATATATGTACAATTCATATGGAAAATAAGTAAAGAAAGAATAACTTGTTATATAAAAAGTACTTTTTTGTGCACACAATTTTTTTTTTAAATTGCGTACCACCTGAAACCGAATAACGATAAATCAAAGATGATTGTCAATCAATGATAAATATTAATGTGAAGTACATGAGAAAATGAGAATGGGAAAGAGAACAAACAAGAAAAGTAATGAAACTAACGCGCGCAATGCGAAACACTAAATATTAGAAATGAAAGTCAAATGCTCGAGTATACCTCAACCCAAAAGCTCAGGTGAGTAAATACAAATAAATATCTATCCATTCTTTGTGAACAGCTATCTATTTCCGAAGAGGACATATATTTATATATTTATGTATATATACATATATATATCTATCAGAATTTATTATAAGAGTAATCGAATTAATTAGTTAATAGACGGAACTTCGAACTACTGCATTTATCGAGTGTAAAAGTGAATTTAGCGAAATAACAAACGTAATGACAATTAATTGCAATACAGCGGATCTTTGAAAGGCGTCCTAATGTATCACAAGCGATCGAATTGCTTGAGAAGTAGATTCCATTCGATATTGTAACAAGCCCAATTGCGTTTCTTTATTTTTATGTCTCTTATAAAGATGTAGCACAGGGAGTGAGATAAAATCACTACGACTGAATAAAGATACATCAGAAAGACGAGTGGAAGATTCATAAATTCACACCTTTCACAAGTATATTCGCAGTTAACAACCGTTATCGTTACAATATGCTCTCCCATAGATGAATTATCTTGCCGTTTTTAACGCGCACGGCGGACGTTAGACCGAGAGAAATAACTAAAAGCGCTAAAGTTAGGGAGGCGCCAAAGGAAATGAAAACTGATTCACTCGATAATCAAGTAGACACGATTTTGAGTAAACGAGCAATGTTGCAAACGACACTTCGTAAAGATATAGACAAAATTAGCTTAAATCTCTCAGACGAGTGCGAAATTGATTCCACAGTTTGACCGCTCGGCTCCTGTTTGATTTATCGATGTTGCTTTCTCTAGGTTGATCATAACGGCAACAACTGTGACGCTCAACGAGATCATCATCCACATGGAATCATCGATTATAAATCACCGCATGACCGATATCGCAATCATGAGAACCAGAAAAATCACAAACCTGGTGAGCTAGAATTAATCATGAATATATTAATGCTGCGTACATTAATAGTATATTTCTAGTAGTACACTCTTTAATTTTCTTGGAGTGAAATCTCACTCCGAGAGAGTGAAAATATTTCACTTTTTAGAAAAGTGACAATTTTCACTCTAAAGAGTTTATTTTCGCTCCAAAAAATTTGGGGAGTATATACCAATAATATACTTAAAGTATATACTAATAATATATGTATATATCTATAGTATATATTAATATATAGTATACTTATATATATTTATTGCTGTTTTAGCATTGTACATCTCGCAGATATAATATATTCCATACATCACGTGCTTTGTACAGGTGAATAGGAGTCGCATTTTAGAGATATGAATTATATTTGTATAAGAAATTTTGCTCTTTTTTTCTTGAATGATTCTTCCTGGCCATTTAATTGTCTCATCTTGCTGTCGATTATCTTAACGGTTCTGGTTCCAGTTTATATTTTTTAAGATTATTTGATGTAGAACTCTTAAATTTGAAGAGGGATTATCGTTTTTGTTTTAGTTTTAGTTTTCAAAAAAAGAAACATGAATTTTCAATTTTTATTTTTTATATATAGATCCTAACTTTTATCTGTTAACTTTGTAAATAAATTTATATGTTTTTAATATTAAATTGTGTATGAAATGTTAACATTGGGATGCAAAAATAAAAGCTGTTTATTATATATCGCTACATTACATATGATGGTTTTAAATATTTTAATACCAAGAACGAGTTACAAATCTTTTTCAGGTTCATTCTTTTAGCGAGTAGAAATAAAGATAATATTGTTCATTGTTATAAAGACCGTTATATACGAATTTAAGGTTTAAATACAAAATTATGTGATATATGCACTTCGATCGATAAAATATTTAATACATATTCTGATAAAAATCTAGTAACATTAGTTAGATATTTTATTGATTAAAAGATACTTATGTGTTTCATTTAGAATATCTTTAATTTGTCGATTAACATAATCAATAATTATGTATATATATATATATATAATACATGTACTATTTTTAGATAGAATTCTTAAAATTACAGTTTTATTATTTAACACGTACAGACGAAAAGACTAAAGACAACAATTGTTCAGTTCAAACTATGAATTTTATATGTATATATAATACACGTATATGTTGTATATGTGTATTATATTCGTAAAGGAGATCGAAGGCATTTAATTATTCTTTGTTCAAAAGGCTCTACAGAAAATAATATAGAACTTGAATAGAGAGAAGTACGAAAAGTAGCATTCTACTTTGTCAAAAGAAAGAAAAATAAAATAAAGTGTAATATACATATATCAATGAGTATCATCCATATTTTTTTGCAATTCTTTTACTCTATTCAAGCGTTCTTTTGCATGGGCTAACCATACTTTAATAGGACCTGTAAGTTCGTCGTCTGTTGCATTTGGATGTGAATTTCGCAACACAACTGGAAAAAATAACATTTTTTTCATTAGACCTTCATTATTTCTTAACAAATTAGAACAGATATCTAAGTAATTTTTAAGAAGTGATAATTTATTGTATACTTTATTTACGAGTATATTACGTAATATATACGAGAGTTAACTAAAAAATATTTATAATTATAAACATTTATTGAGATAAACACTAAATATTTATTGAAATAAACACTAGATATTTACGGATATTTGTAAAGAAATAATAATATTATTTAGTAAATATAAAGATTTTGTAAAAAAAAAAAAACTTTACTTACTCATAATTACTTTGCATATCTCCAGTGCTGAGAAAACTAGTTTCTTTTTCGCTCCATGCCAACTGTATTTTATTGCCAGTTCATTTGATAATGTGACTCTTGCCAATCGTATGCAAGATGATCTAATATGTTCAGATGTTACACGATTCAATTGTTTAATCTACAATTATTAAAAATTAGGATTACTTTTTTAATTTATTGAGTAGATCACAAATTGTTATCCTTCATTGTTTCGAAGATACTTTATAATATTGAAATACAAACATTAGACCTACCATTTGATTTCGATACTCTGAATCCTCTTTTAATTTTGTCTCCATTATTTTTAAATCATTTTCGTCTTTCAACGGTAAATCAGTAAAAACATCAATATTTTCTTTGTTTTCCACTACATTGTTCGAAATTGCAAGCTTTTGTAAAACAGTCATTTGAAATAGGTTCATATCATTTACTATTACTTTTAAAGTTTTTTCTATATTTACTAGTTTCCGTATGACAAAATGTTGAAAATTGTTAACTTCTGTAAGACATTAAAAACATTTTATTTGTATATTTAATTGATATTTACTTTTATCCCATAAAATATTAAATCTTTAAAAAATTCGACAGATTAAGAAAAATATTATGCAAAATTGTTCAAGAGTAAATTATAATATACGTACAATAAATAAATATAGTGAATATATATATATATATAATTGCATATACTAACTTTGTTCGAAACTTGGCACTGCTAATGGCTCACTATTATCATCTTCGTTTTTTTCTTCAACGTTAGATGAATTTTTATCACATTGTGGATCTGAAAATAAAAAAATAATATTATCATTATTATTTCATTATAATTTTAACATTGATTTGGTTACATATACGATAATTATGTAATCATCTACTTAGTCAGAAACAGTTCATCGAAAAAACGTCGTTTCGATGTCGGAAAAGTCGAAAATTTTTTGAATTTCTGTTAATTTCAATGGATTTTTTGCTTCAATTTCGATTAATATTTTCAAGTTAAAAATATATTCTTGAATCAATCTTTCAAAACAATATTTAAATCTTCTCAGCATAAAGAGTTTAAACAATTCTTTTTAAGTCTCCGAATTATGAAATGTATTCTTCTTCTATCCCATTTGCAAAATATTTATCATAATTATTTAAATTACAAATATTGAGAAAATCGCAATATAAGGGATAATTTTTTAATAGACGTGACAACAGTGTCTAGATTGTGATGAACTAACATCTTTAAACTGATTTAAGACTCGATAAGGCTGATAAGGCTTGTATTTAGTGCTTTATTCGTGATTTACTGTATAGTAGTCGACTGTCGAAATAAAATCGAAAGAATGTCGATTTGGTCTTTGAACGAAAACCTCCAAAATATAAGATTATGTATAACATATATATTCACCAAAAATATTGAAAAATGTATTAAACTCTCATTATACTCTTTACACACTTTTTATTCAAGAACTAAAGTTAATAAGTAGCGCGTTACTTGTAGCGTCGTTATCGTTACAATTACTTTTTTGTAATTAATGAATGTGTAACGATGTTACATTTTCTTATTTATAACGTTAATGTAACGCAATTAATTTTCTGGATAACGGCATAATATAATTATTTTAGAATAGATAACATTATGACTGTACAAGAAATAAATTCATTGTTAATCGTATAAAATGGAAGGAAAAATAAAAATTGATTGCATACTAACCTTGTTTTTCATTCAAGTTCGAATTTGAGAGTGGGTCTTTATTACTGTCATTATCATTGTTTCCAGAATGGATGTCTTCTATATTGACAAAGGATATATTTTGTGAAGCTGAAAGGATGTTAACATTATTGCTATGTACAATTTTAAAATTGATCAATCTAAATGTATAATTATATATTTATATTTTTATCAATGTTGTAAAATACAAAATTATAGAAAATAGAATGAAATAGAATATTTCGATAGTTTTATTTTTGTCGTATGTAGCCACCTCTTGTAAATTATAATTGCCATCGTACATTATTACTGAATTCAATATCTCATTTAAAATTATTTCATGTTTTCGTAATTGTGAAACAAAAAAATTCAATACTTTTCTATTATCTCAGTATTGGTATTATTCAGAAAATTTTAATGTCAAATTTAAATATTTTTCCTTGTTTGCGTATTTTTTATCTTTCTTTGATATGTCATTATTACTTTACTTTATATTCAACTTTATATTCCATGAAAATAAAATACAAAAATTAAAAAGAATATGATTTGATTATTTATCCTTTTAAATTTACTTTACAAGAAAGCTTTTTAATTGTTAATAATATAAAGATTATAATGTACGGGAAAAATTGATAGAAAATTTGCTATAAAATGTGTCAAAAATTAACTGTTCGCGCAATAATAATGATGGATATATATATATGTATGTATTACATATAAAAGTGCAAGTATATCTACGTATTTGTGTATGTACTTATGATATAAAGCATATAAAATATGTATCCGTGAATAATAGTCTTTCTCCTAGATTTAATAAAAATATAAAATCATATATGATGACATATTTGATTCTTATAGATAGAGATAAATAGACACATCTTTTATCTTGTTTTACTTATATGTAGGAGGGGATAAATCATTGTCCTCGAGTGTACGTATACTTTATACAAATTAGTCTTACCATTGAAATTTATTTCGACAAAAATTGTACATACCTAATTCATCTTCCTTTTCTTTTTTTACGTTGCAATCATCTAACATTGTAATATTCTCTGTGCTTAGACATTCTATATCATGAATGCGATTCAAATCTGTAATGCATAAAATGATACTTCATTATTGAAACATCCTATTCTTTCTTAGTTTATTATTTCTACAATTAATACTCTTTTCTACTTTTTATTTCTGTTAATGTTTTTGTGCTATTACCTTCTTGTATATTTTTTGCGATTTTCTGTTTTTTTGCAATAGATGTAGAGAGACACATGGAATAATGTCTTTTTATAGGAGGGCTTAGGATTTTAATAGAATTGTCATCTGACAGTTCGTCATCACTGTCCAAGAGTTTAGCAGCTCTAATTTTTCTTGTTTTTTTAAGATACTTTTCTTTTTCCGTACTGGAACTCAAATTTGACAATTTTTCAGCTTCTTTTAACTTTTGCTGTGCCACTGTATAATTAGCTACAACATAATATAATCCTGATAAAAACATGTATTATTGTTGTATATTATTAAAAAATATAAAAATATATTAATATTAGATTAATGTTGCAGACGAAATGGCCATTTATTTTTAATTTTGAATTTAAATTTTCATTCGACATATTTTATATACATCTTGTTAATCGAAATAGTTCCCATCCAATACTCTTTCTCCAACGTAATACAAGTGCATCAATGTCTTTTATATAGAAATTAGAAGAGCAAATTGAATGCACCTTTCATGTCACTTTCTATTTGGAATATTTTTTCACGTAAAAAGCTACTCAGATGCTTAAACAAGTGGTAATTTGTTGGAGAAAGATCAGGAAAATAAAAAAGGTAAGGGGAATTTTGCGTTTATTCTAATAATTTTTTTTAGTTTTGCAGAATGCGGTCCAGCATTATCATAGAATAATAACGTGCCACGTCTATTGTCAAATTTTTTCACTTTCCCCATAACTTTGAGGTGAACAGTCGAATAGTAAATATTGATGCTGCGCAATATCTTGAACTGATAAACGTGAGTCTACTTCAATCATATCTTTCAAAATATTGTCCAACTACTGACGGCCTAAAGCCGTGAGGCAAATTGTCGAAGTTCGTATCACCAGACCGAAACTTTTCGAACCAACGTCTGATAGTTTGATCATTTACAGAAGGATTTATACTTTATATTGTCCCGGCCGCATTATGACTATGTTTGAATTCATACAGCAATATTATCCGCATTTTCTTACTTTCCATGTCGAGGAAACAGCGATTTTTAACAATGTAAATACTGTGATAAAAATAAGATTTATGCATATATTTTATAAATCATTCATGTAATGATACTTGTATGAAAAAGAAGCTAAATTACTCGGCAGGAAAATTTTAATTATTAAAAACGGCCATTTTATCTACAATAACCCGATATTATACGTATATCGAAAAGTAACGATAAAGTATCTCAGAGAAGAATATAATATAACATTATATATATATACTTACTATATATTCCATATATTTTTCGAATGGGATGTTTAATCCAAGTAGATTCCGGCTCTTCCATTAACTTCACCGCTTTGTCATATCGCTTGTAATTTGTAAAATTTGGCCAAACGGCTTTCATTACATTTAGATCCAACCAATTACATGGAATCATTTGATGACCATCTTCAAATTCAACGACTGCGTAAAATTTTCCGTCAGTCATTCTGTTTGAATAAACATAAATTATATTTTGGTATTTTTAAAGAAAATTATTGCATATCACATGGCAATTTGAAATATTTCCTAATAACATTTTTTAATAACTATGATTTCAGATCCATGTGATTTTTCCCTGAGGCAGAAATGTAAAAAGTGAAAATTTTTATTAATGAAATTAATGGAGAAATTTTTCACCTTTCTTGTTTCATTTTAAAGGAAAAGTTATATGATTGATATCCTGAACGTACCAATCATGTAACATAAGTAAAAATTATGAATTTCAAGTGATATAAATTTCAAGAAGATGGATAAAGGACGCTGAATAAATTTTTTCTTCCAAAAATTTATAACCATTGCAATAATTAGATTTTACATCAAAATATGTCAGAATAAGATATAAAAATGTAAACATGATGAATATCTTTTTTGTGAATTATAGATTTTTTGATAATTTAATACTTTTATATGCAAAATAACTAGAAGAATCATATTAAGTAAAAAATATATTTCCGTAGAATAATTATGTAAAAAAAATATAAATTCATAAAAAAAATAATCATGTAATCTTGAAAAATCGATTTTCGAAAATTAATTTTATCATTATTTATCTCCTTTTTACATTTTTTCGAAAACACTCTTTTTGAAAATAATTAACTGTATCACTTAAATAAAACATCTTGTATATTATTATATAAAAATTATATATTATATTTATATATACAATTTCGAAGTTATTCTTCATGGTAGAAGATGCAAAGTAAATTTGAAAAGTTTGATATCCCAAAAAATTCAACTCTTATATTATTAAATACATAAAAAGGATAATAATAGAGTTACAATGTCTCGAATATTCTCCGAATTTTACGTTTGCTATATAAGTTTACTCGCAAGTGGAATTGATCCATACAATTCTCGAGTATAGTATAACATGCCTGCAGAGTGCAGACCAATGTAAGGCTTAACACATTGCAGACACACACAGTTTATAAATATACATTCTTGATTTTACATTCAAAGACTGTCCCTATATTCAATTCTATTCTACTTGATACTAGACCCTAAAAGGGTCAGATGACCATCAAGGGGTTCTACTGCTGAATATCGTTCGGCTGAATCGGTTCCTGGTTCACCTGGTTGAGGGACTGGAAGCCCCTCAAAAAACTCAGAAGAAAAAGAAGAAAAGAATTCCGCAAGTTAAATACATCGAATTTATTTTATTCATATTTAGTTCTAGTTAAGGAGTTGGTAGTTAGGCATCCTCTTAAAAAGAAGAAACTATTTTCGCAAGTAAGGATAACCTCAAATTTGTATACGATATAGTTTTATCATAATTGTTAAATATATTTAACAAATATGATATAATTTATTTATAGAAATATCCGATATTTTCAGATAATATAATATCGAATATAATATTAAGTAAAAAAGAAGGAATACCTCTGACAAAATCACGTTTTCCTCGTAACTGTAGAACAAATTCGTAGGGATCGGAATTAGAATTACGTATCTAGATGGCATTAGTTTACATATATAATGTTCATTTCTATATTCTGCGTACGTTCTGAAAATATACAACTCAATACCTAAAAGTATCGGAGATATATTTGTATAAGTATATAAATTATATCATATTTGTTAATGTACATATTTGTTAATTAACCTTCTGAGGACCGGCATGTTTTTGATCGACTTTTTTATTTTAAGGACTAGAACTTTTTTGTCAATTGGCCTGTTCTTTTTGGCTGAACTTTTGCACCAGTTCATCCTTCTTCCTTTTCTCTCCAGGAGGAAAGAAGAGGAAGAAAGATGAACTGGTGCAAAAGTTCAGCCAAAAAGAACAGCCCTAATATCATGGGGTTGAGTGGCGAAAAAGGTGGCGCCACTGTCAAGTCCCTAAAGGGGCTTCCTCTAGAGATTAAAGGCCATGGCACATAAAAAAACTTGAGCCTTAAGCCTTAAGCCCGCACGAGATACTACATAATGATACTGCGTATATACAAAGGATATCATACGAATGTTCTCACGAATTAGCTATAATCACAGTACAAGAACCGGAGTTTATATGAATATATCCCATATATGAGATATTACTTACATTGCTATTCAAACATTTTTTTGTAAATGGAGGGTGTACGAAGATAAGAGAGAGATAGAATATCGAAGCTCTCACTTTCATAATTCGTATATTTTGAACGCGCATGCGTTAGCTACATATGTGTATACATACTACATACATCGCATGGATCACATGGCGTATATATAGGCTACAATACGTGTCCTTGTTTATCCTGTAAGTTAAACAAAGACTTCTATCGTATAGGTCGCGGACTAAGCGCACGGTGTAAACGTAGCCATAGTGCATTTGAAAATAAGTTTGGCTACTGAGCCAGCAAAAGAAGCAAATATATACGTAAGAATAAAATTTATTTATTTATAAAATTGGCGAGTATTTTGTAAAAAATGGGCGCTTCTCAGCCTTGTGTCCACGTAAAAAATCGTGAGTTTTTTTTCTCTTCCCGAATCATTTATGAATAACACGTGAAAAACCGAGCGTGAGCTGAAGACGAGTGAAGGAATTAGTATCATTAGTATTTTTTATAGCGATAAGATCGCGCATGCGCACAAATTCGCGCCCCTGAGTTGACTACCGAGTCTCCCTCTAGCGACTGGTGACAGTCACCGTTGCTTTCGCAATTTCGCATTTCGCGGTGTGTCGCGATGAGCGCTTCTGTCAAGAGTTGTTATTTACGTACCTTAGAAGGAATTCCGACGAATGTTTATCTGCCGGACAAGACACCAATTTTCGTAGGACGCTCGCCAGAAACCGGCATCACAGACGCGAAATGCTCGCGACAACAAGGTCGCACAATCTTTTGAAATTCCTTTTTTACCCGCATCATTGTTTACAAATTAAAGATAAGAGTTTGCTTCACGTGACTTGAATTTTCGTTTATGTAATTATTTTCGTTTATGTAAAAGAGAATTACATTGATAGAATATGAATAAGAATTTTGAATGATTTGTTCTTGATGCTAGATTGATCTTTTAAAAGAGTCCGATAAATCTGCACTGCAGAGAGGTTACGTTCAATTTTTGGATGTATTCAGTAAAGCAGTTAAAAAAATATGAATATTGAAACACAGTCTTGCAGGATAAAATCAACAAGTTTGACTTTACATCAAAACAAAAATTATAACAGCTGATTAAATGATGAAAATAGTGATAAAGTAGATAAAGTATTAATGATATAACAATTAATTGTTTATAGCGTGACAAATAATTTCAATAAAGAATTTCAATAAGTATTTTTATATGAGAGGGTCTTAAATAAATTATTAAGATTTAAATGAATAATTGTTACATTTTAAACTTTGTTTGACTTTTTTTTATGATGTTTAAAATCGATAAGAGTGTTTTAGTACTGTTAAATTTTATTTTAACTTTTATATTATATACCACTTGCAATAATCATCACTTTATTTAATATTGGTAATAACCCGATATAAATTGAAACATTTATTAATATATATGAATTTTATTGTTTATTAATTTTAGTATTAAATATCTACCTTTGGTTCATAGCCCTTTAATTTATTTAGTTTGTTTTAAATGAAAAAATGTTAGAGTAAAGAAGAATTTAAAGAAATTTGAAGATTATTTAATACAATTTTCTCCCTTTATTTTGCAAGTTATTAGCACAAATGAATACATTAATCTATTTTCAACAGTTCGTCTATGCGCAAATTATACAGAGACTATCGTCACAGTTCAACAAATAGGTCCCCACGCCTGTGGCTTTAATGGCTTTAAAACTCAGAAGGATGTGAAATTTGTAGCCAGACACAATGATCGCTTGGAGCTGCTCTATGGCAAGCATGCTTTCGAAATAGAGTTCATTCCACCTCCAAGCGTGAACAACCTTACATGGAGGAAGAGATCGTATGAATCAGAAACAGAAGAAACTGAGGGCAAAACCAAAATGTTGAAGTCAGATAATTGCTCTGATAATCACTCCGAAGAATCTGAGAATGACAGAGAAGAGGAAGAGAAATTACCTTCGAATGGTGTACATATTGATCAGAAAACATTCAGTACTAGTTCTAACACGTCCTCTGAACAGAGCACTGAAAGCTCAAATACATCTGCAAAGTGGGACAGTGTGGATAATGGAAAATTGTTAATTTATACAGCACCATCTGTTCAAAATCAAGCAAAAGTAATTTTAATTGTCAATTACAAGATTTATTTAATACATTCTTAAATAGTATAATCAATTAAAAAATACAATGAATTTTTATAAGTTATGTATATATATATATTTTTTAATAAGATTTTTATAAACACTAATGTTAAAAATAAATTTTATTTTTAGGTGGCTGCATATGATATGGATGGGACTTTAATAAGAACTAAATCTGGTTTGGTGTTTCCAAAGGACTGTAATGATTGGCAGTTGCTCTATCACGATGTACCTGGAAAATTGAAGCAGCTTCATATGAACGGATACAAAATAGTGATCTTTACAAATCAAGCAGGCCTTAGCAGAGGAAAATTCAAAATCAGTGATTTCAAAGGCAAGATCGAGAAAGTTGTACAAAAAATCGGCGTTCCCATTCAAGTATGGTATAATTATAATTATAATATTTACATAAATAATAATTTTTTTACTTATGCATTATACTTTGTAGGTTTTTATTGCTGTGGGAAAGAACATTTATAGAAAGCCAGCAATTGGTATGTGGGAATTTCTGGAAAAGGAGGTACATAAAATCTTTTTAAATATATAAAATAATATTAAATATTATGTGAATGTCCTAGAATGTTTACAAAGAGAATTAAAATATAAAAGTCTCTTAAGGAATTTTTTCTTTTTTTTTAAATACCAATATTAAAATATTTCTTACGTGAAGTATATTTTTTATTGTCAATTCATTTCTTACTTTATTAAGTTATAACTAATTCTAAGTCTGTAAGTTCTTTATAAATATTAATTAATTATAAATATTTTATTTGTGTGTGTGTGTGTGTGATTTCTTAATTGTCTAATTTCTATTTGTAATAATTTCACGACGTTTATGCACGTAATTGCAGAAAAATGGAGGTATCACAATTGACAAGGCTAAGTCATTTTACATCGGTGATGCCGCTGGTCGGCCAAAGAACTGGGCCCCAAGGAAAAAGAAAGATCACTCGAGTGTGGATCGATTAATGGCGTTGAATGTTGATGTCAAATTCAAGACGCCTGAAGAACACTTTTTAAACCATAAAGCGCCGCCTTATGAGTTACCTAAGTTCAATCCAAAAAATCTATCGCAAACCGACATATGCAAACCTGCGGACGCGGAATTAACACTCAAACAGCAAGAGGTAGACAATAACACACTTCTGATGTTAACTTTTACATTTAAAGTTTTTTTAGAGATTAAATATTGAGAGGTTTATGTATAAAAAGAGATTATTTAATTAAAATTATTTGATTCGCAATAAAATTTCTGTTTACACATATATTATTCTTTCGTCAACAGATGATACTTATGGTCGGCAGCCCGGGCTCCGGAAAATCACATTTTACAAAAAAGCATCTAAAGGAATACGGATACGTCAACAGAGACACTTTAGGCAGCTGGCAAAAATGTATTGCTGCAGTTCAGCAATACTTGAATGAAAGAAAAAGCGTAGTTATAGACAATACTAATCCTGACAAAGCTTCCAGAGAGAGATATATAGAGGTAGCCAAGAAGTGCAACGTCCCGGTCAGATGTTTTGTTATGACGACAAGTTTAGAACACGCTAAACATAATAATAAGGTAATAATCGGAAATTAACTATCGTCGTACGAAGGAATGTTCGGAAAGCTTTAGTCGAATTATTGCATTGCAGTTTCGCGAATTGACTGATCCAAGCCACACTCCAATCAACGAAATTATTATACACTCTTATATGTAAGTGGAATTTAAATATATATATTTTCATGCATTTTTTTTTAAATTCTATATTATAACTATAGTTTTGAGTTTTCTTTATCAGGACGCACAGTTATCTCTGTTTATTTATTACCAAACTATTAGAACTTAACTTATTGGGACATAAGAAAAATAGATAAGCTAGTTTGATCGTAACAAAGAAAAGATTTATCATTCAATAAACACGTTTAAGGCCTTTGATCAGTTATTGCGCCATTTTGGATCGTGATGTCGTGAGCTAAAAATGACGCTGAAGTTTCTTACATGCTATTTGTAACTAAAAGAGAGAGAATTTGGATAAAATAAAATAATAAAATTGCTTTTAAAACACTTATAAAAATGGACCGAAACTATCCTTGTCTCTCTCCTTCCAACAATCGGTAAATAATCGTAAAAAGTACATGAAGTGAAAATACACATAAATAAGCTTTTACGATTATTTTCTGACTGTCAAAAAGGGAGAAATAAGGATAGTTTCGATTCATTTGTACAAGTGTTTTAAAACGAACTTATTATTTCATTTTATCTAAATTCTCTTTATAAATGACGTCAAGAAATTTCAACCTTGTTATTTCTTGTTTATGATATCATGACTTAACATAGCTATGACTAGTCAGAAGTCTAATAGATAAAATATCAAAACTTTCGCATTCTGTGTGCAGGAAAAATTACGAACCGCCAACTTTAGAAGAAGATTTTAAGGAGATAGTGGAAATCAATTTTGTTCCGAATTTCCGTAATGAGCAGGATCGAAGGCTCTATGAGATGTATTTACTCGAAAATTAAATCCTATAAATTACTTAAAAGTACTTAAACAAATAAATCTTGCATGATATAAATTGAAATCCGCCGCCGCATCTATTTTTAATGAATATGGTAACGCTAGCAATAAAAATATTTATTAGATTATTCATTGCAGTCTATCTCAATTACCTAATCAATTATTTATTTGATTATTTATTTATTTGATACAGAGTGTTTATAGGGTGTCTCAGAATTCATGGAAAATGAATTATTATTTTATATAATATGCGATTCTCTAAATTTTTAGTATATAAACCTTTATTTTTAATGACGCGAGAAAATCATTAATTTTTAAATTTCAAAAAATGATTTCACGTATATTTCTTTATTTCCGTCAGGTTTGGAACACCCTGTTTAATCCTACATTTTTGTGTGAATATTATTAATTTATTGATGATTACAGAGTTCTGTCTTTTTATCTGATACTACTATGTTTGATATTGACTCAGATATACAGCAGATGCTTAATTATCATAACATGTCTGCTAGTTATGACCTTTCCAATCTTTAAAATGTCAACTAGCATAGAGTGCCAGAAGTTATTACATATTATTACATATTACAAGCTACTGATAAGAATATTGCAGGAAGAGAGAAGAGAGAGGAGATTACAAGAGAGAGGAGCAGTTTTAAATTTTATATTCGATAAAGGTCACTGTTCTTTATCTGTGAACAGCAGGACTTTCTTCGAACCGGGGCTAAACCCGCGACCCCAATAGAGGATTTTCCCCTCCCATTTTTCAATCGCGATTGTTAGGCATCCCCTAGTTCTTCGGTAGAGCGATTGATTATGCCACGTGATGTAGCGAGAATAGTGCGACGCTCAATGCGGGCTCAGTCAGTGCCCGCGCAGACGTCGTCGCGACGAGTCGTCTTCCCCGCTGTTCCGTTGTATATCCTGTACGTGTGTATACGTGCGATCTCGTGCGTGAATTTGTGAGCAGGAGCAAGGTGAAAAATCCAGTCACATGTGTGACGCGGAAGAATAAAGTGAGTACAACACAAGTTTAAACGGGGAGCTTAAACCGGTCGAGCAACATCTGCGGTGCTTGAGAATGATGCGGTGGATCAGTCCCTATCAATCCTCAATCTCCGTGGAGTCTGCCAAAAATAGTTCTGTTATTTCTTGCCGTACTACGGCACATTTCTCCTCTATGAATCGCGGAATAATGATTCAGAGTGTGATTTAACGGTATATATCATCCAATCGTGATGTAAATTTAATAAAATATATAAACCATTCTAAACTTATTGCACCATAAAAAAATTGTATATAAATTTAATTATTATGGATTTTTATAATCTGCAGTTTCACATATTTATGTCTACAGATGAAATTATCAAACTTTAATAGCGAATTTTAATAAGAAGCAGATATTTATTTACGAGAAGATTTGAGTTTGTAATTTGTTAGTGTTTCTTGACGCTGCACGTTAGATTATATGGTGATCTTTCTTTTCTAAATAAACTTTTCTAAATAACTTTTCTTTCTTCTTCGATACTCTTAAATCTCAATGCGATTTTAATTATGATGCGAAAATAAATGAGGGAGGATAGAACCGGTAATTTAAAACATCTTGTTTTTTTTTTACTTTTTGTTAGACAGTTCTGGAGAAATCGACTCCAAATTTTTGAGAAAATTATATACTTAAGAAAGGAAGTGCTTGTTATCTATATTTTTTAGTTTTCGGCATAATAAATAATATCTATATTTAACAGAAGTATTTTTTTAAATTATCTTCTTTTTTTTACAAAATAATTAAGTAATCAATTATTATTATCATCAAAATAATTAATATTACTACAATAGTTTCTCTTATTATTAATCAATATTATTATTATTATTTATTTTATTCTATTGTTCCTATTATTATTACTATTAATGTTACTATAATTATTATTATTATATATTGCATATAACATTACTTATTTTGAGTATTAAAATTATACAGAAATTATACGCAATTATGGAATTGTTTAAGCATTAAAGATCTAATTTAACCATTTAGGGCCTTCATTTCTGATTTGTTGTATAACGTTACTACTGTTGCTACTCTTGTTACTACTACTAATTGTTATTGCTACTATATCGATTGGCAAATATTTGGAACACCCGGTATATTAATTACGCTCGTACGCATAGTCATTCAAGCGTAACTCGTCTGCTTGGTATCTTCCGTTCCTCGTGTATCTTACGTCACGATAAGATTACGTCACAAGTCAAGTCACTTTGCAAATGATACTCATGCTCATCACGATGTGTCTTGAACGCGTCATCGTCCACCGAGTGTCTCAAAATATCCCGCGCGATGCACGCCAACACCAACAGAACGAGGAATGGTCGCATTGTATCGCTATAGAACTTCTTTGGTATCTTTAGCATCTCGTAATGTTAAAATGCTTAACATTAGGAAGACACTTAGATATTTTTATTTGAATTTTTAAATTCATATTTAAATTAATTCATGATTTTTGAATCGCAAAAAGCTTTCGACCGTGACGACTGAATAAATTAGAAAGATGATTAAATAAATTACAGAAGTGAAGAAATTAAATTGAAGAAATACACTTGTATACATATTTGAATTGATATGATTGTATTAATTCAAATATAAATTTTAATCAATAACTCTCACGGAAAATAAATTTGTCTTCGTAATAATAATTTAAAATAATAATCGTTAATAAAGTTTAATATTTTTGACATGTGTTAATATCTTTGACGCACAAGAATTTATTTGCATTGTGCCTCTGAGAAAATTAATTAAAAAATTATATGAAAAGAAAAGTTTGCTGAAATACATGTATCTAACAATTTAGCTGGATAAAAAGAGGAAAATAATTTTGTTGAATTATTAAAATAATTATGTAGGACGCACACACACAAGTATAATGAACAATGTCAGTTTGCATGTGCTATATCATTTTAAAGGTCTAACAAAATTATTCAACAAAATGTGCTTTGCAGGTTATTATACCTATGATAAATATATCTAATTGCATGAAAATGTCCATGAATAAATACACTTTGCAGAAAAACGATCGCGATATATTCGAAGCTTTCTTCGTAATTTTCTATTTGACGATTACGAAAGTTGTATAATCGATAAATAGCTCGAGAAAAAAAAATTATTTTTGTCTAATTTACCTCTGTTTATTCTGTACCTTTATTTTTTTATATAAAGGAAGATATTAAGGAAAAGATATATATAAGTTAGAAATTTTTTAAAATTGTCAATCTGCAAATTGAAATAATGAAATATATGAAGGAAAAAAATTTTTAAGATAGCCTTAAAACTTTCGAGACTTCTAAAACGTTCGAAATTCGAAGCTCTTAGAAACTTGTTTTGATTTGAAACCAAATTTGTGATTTCTATTGTGTATAATATTAACACGGAAGAAAACGGTTTTGTTAAAGTAAATTTAAAAATTCAACTAGCCACAGATTTGAAAATAATTTTCTTAGACCATAAAAATAATTATGTAGAGCGTTCAAATTGGCATTGTTCATTACTTGAGTGTCCTACAAAATTATTTTAATAGTCCAATAAAATTATTTTCACAAATCTGTATCTAGCTAAATTTTTAGGTATCACAGCAAAATTGTTCTCGTGTACAACGGAAATCTCAAATTATGTCAAAGTTTCTGAAATTTTAAATTTGGAACTGTCAAAAGTCTTGACGTTACCTAGAAAATGCATTTTTTTTTCTTTCATAGCACTTTATTATTTCAATTCGCAGATTTGGCGACAATCTATGTATATTCGAAACGATTCTATGAGCCACTAAAACGCATTGGCCTTCACACATTAGAATCGCACGTGATCGCTTCTAAACGTCGATAAGCTGATACAGAGTTGTTTGCTATGCATATCACGTCTCTGTCCGATGCCTATTCATTTATTATTCAGCGTCTATAATTTTTTTTCCATGTTTTTATAATTTCAATTCTTTTTCCTGGATTCTCTCGCAATTCTTAGATAGATGCGGAAAGTCATTCATGAGAACAATTGTCTTAATTCTCGATTTGAGAACTTCTCGATTGCGATTAAGATTACACAAGTTTTTGAAATCCTCGACTTTTCCAAGAACTTCGTATTCTCACATTCATATTTTCCGATTCTTCTTCTTGGTAAAAATCGCTCTTGTTACATTTTAAGATTTTTTTCGATTACTTTAAAATTTTATTTATTCTGGATTAAGAATTAATAATTCATAATTTGTCTTCGTGCAATAAACAGCATTTCAATACTGGTTGGACATCAAATATACAAGAGAAAAAATTTCTAAAAAGTTGGGAGACTTCTCTGTAAATACCGAGAAAAATCGCGAATGTATATTTTTGCTGCTGTAGAGGCTCGCTCGTTTCGCATAAAACGCAATGAGTCATGATCAGACTCTGTGTGTTTCAGTAAAGATTACGTATCGTGCGTCGTTGAACAATTGACCTCAACGAGTTACAGAGTTATTAACACACAACGTGCCTTTGTCTTGATGCATTTAATTTTCTCTTAATTGTCTTTTTAGCGACGCTGCAATACGAAGTGCATTCGATTCCGATAGTGATACGTTAATCGAAAGGTCATCTTTGTTATAATACTAAAATATGTGATATTTAAGATAAGATTTTGAGACGCTTATTGCACTTTGTACAAATTAATGAAATAATTTAAAATAATCGACAATGACGAAGTTAGCAAATATAAAATCTCAGTAAACGAGAATGGATTGAAATGGATTGAAATTTTTAATTCATCCGAATGTGTATTTAAAAACTACATTTCTTATCCAGAATTTTGAATTCAGCAGTATTCACGATTCATTTTCAAAAACTGAATTTATTTTTTTATCGAAAGACGTAGATAATACATGCTTCATGCAATTCCTATAAATGAATACAAAGGAATGAAGCATTGAAATGGATTTAGATTTTCAGAAGTACGCATTCGCGAATAAACCTTTTTTAAATTATTTTAATCGATTTTCTTTTACTGTGGGATGAAAATAATTTGATTATTGTTGTAAATTAAAATAAATAAGTTTTTAT